GGGCCTGCCTTGCCTCTGGGAACAAGATGTTCCATAAGGCAGGAGCAACAGCAAAGAATACTCTCTTCTTAGACCCCACCAGTCATAATTCTTTAGCCAACTGGGTCTGCAATATATTCTTTCTGCTTGATCAAGTGGAACAAGTTGATGAAATGCAGACAAAACAATTCTCAGATGGCCTGGTGACCGTACCATGCCTGGTGACCATGCCATGAGCTTTAAAGGTGATAATTAAACTTTGAATTGGACCCAGAAGTAGATTGTCACCCAGTGCAGCTTGTGTAACAGAAGTGTTACATGTGCCCTGTGGGAGCACCCCAAACAACTCATACTGCCACATTCTGCACTAACTGTAGCTTCTGGATATTTTTCAGTGGTAGCCCCATGTGGATCATATTGCAATAGTCCATAAGGATAGTCATATATGACAGAAAAAAGAACCTTTTGATCCAGGATAAGGTGCAGTTGGCACACAACACGAAGTTGAGCAAAGGTGGGAATAAAGGTCATAGTCCAGAAGGACCCCCAGGTTACACACGAGATCCATCTGTGGCAGTGTAACCCTATCCAAAACCAAAGATGACAAACCTTCAGATAAAGAAGAGGTCCCTACCTACAATTACTCTGTCTTAATGAGGTTCAACTGAAGCTTGCTATTTTCTGTCCAGGCCCCACAGCCTCCAGTCACCACAAAAGAGCATCCACAGCATCACTTAGTGGAAATGTACAACTAAGTATCATATGCATATTTACAATATCTTATTCCATAGCCACTCATTGGCTTCATGTAGATATTAGAAAGAAGTGGAGAGAGCACTGAGGCCTACTGCACCTGACCAAGAAGGGGCCGTGGGCTGGACCTCTTGCTCCCTATTAATGTAGAAGAAGAAGGTGAACCATCACAAAACTATGCCCCCATCCCCAGCTCTCAAATCTAACCCAAAAGGATACCAGATTTGATGGTATCAAAGGTCATTGAGAGGTCATGAAGAGCCAGAATGGATGCACTTTATATCCTGCTCCTGCCAGAGTTCATCCAGAAGTGTGTCCAATGACATTTCTATCCCATATTCAACCTGAAACTTAAGTGGAAGGGATCCAGATAATCTGTCTCATCCAGAACCCTCTGAAGCTGTAGCACAATTACCTTTTGTTAGATAGCGCCCAATGTTTAAGTCTGTCAAGTTCCTTCTGTATCTTAAGGCTATCTTATGGAGTATTGGCTATTCCTGCCAGCTTGGTATCGTCTGCAAATTTGATGAGTTCCCCATCCATCCCCTCATGTAAATCATTGATGAAGATATTGAGGAGTACTGGGCCTAAGACAGAGCCTTGGAGTACTTCCCTCCATGTAGATGTAGTTCCATTGAAACTACATGTTGAGTGAAGTTGGTCAGCCAGTTACAAATCCATCTAGTGTGGATGCTGTCTAACCCACATTTTTCTATCTTATCAAATAGTAGGTTGTGGTCCTGCAATAGCTTCTTGAGAATAGAGCATGCTAGCGCTTTAAGTAGTGCCAAAAGCATCACTTCTTTCAATGAAAAATTAATCACTGTTTGAACCCACTCACATGTCATTTTGACTAACCAGGAGGGGCATGGATCTGATTCATTAGTGGCCATGCTTAACAATCCCAAGAACTCTCCACTTCCTTGAGTCCAACAGGAACATACTGTTCCCAGATAATTGTCTCCGAAAGATCTGCACCCCCATTGACTTCCAACTGAGAATGAATCTGAGCAATTTTATCTGTTAAGTGAACTGAAAATTTCTCAGTGTGCCCTAAAGGTAAATCTTTCAGCCTTCCCTCTTTACTTGGGAGGATCCAGATAACTTTAAACGAGGGCCACCAGGCAATTCTCTGTGGATAAAATAAGAGTGGAGAAATATTGATGTTTCTTATCACCACGAGTTGGCCTTAATAGAAGCCTTCATGATTAATTGGATCCATACCTTGTCTTTCTCCACTGGTGCTCTCTTGACCTTTTTTAGCTCCCTCAATTCATCTGTAAATAAACCAGAGTGTTGGGAGCCCAGAGAGGTGGCATGAGCATTATCCTGTTCCATGATCGGTATTATCCTGTTCCAGCTCCATGATGACCTCCAGCAGTAATAGTAATCGCAATTGATCCATGTCCCTTTCTTCAGAAACAGGATTTCATAACTGGCAATTTGTGTAGCAGGGCCCCTGAAGTCTATGGATAACAATTGCTAGCCCCTCTCCCTTGCCTTGAGGTCCCGGCTGGTATACCCTAAAGCCATCCAGACACATTTCAGAGAGGGGACTCAACCTGGGCCTAGCCAGATTTCAATAATATATGGCAGGTTGATTTGCTTCTCACTGATGAGATTGCAAATAAGATGAGCTTTGTTATTAACTAAGCTGGTATTAAGCAATAGCAGCTGAAAGCCCTGGTCTCTGGTCTACTGATTAAGACCTGGGCATGAATACAAGGGGAAGAATAGGACACCAACAGCTACCAATGTCTTCCCCGGGACAGTCCATCCTCTGTCTCCATCAAAAAGTCCATGCCTGTCTCCGCCTGAATAATTTGACCTGCTTCAAGCTTCCCAGAGTCTTCATTCCCCTTCCAACTCCAACCTATTGGCTCCCTGGGATAGTAGTGAGACTGCATGGTGCTTTGACTTCTCGGCATAATTGGGAGCCCTAGTTACTAACTCCTTCTCATTCAAATATGTGGATGGATGGATGGATGGATAGGTAGATAGACAGACAGACAGACAGACAGAGGATTCATTGGAGAAGACCCTGATGTTGGGAAGGATTGAAGGTACAAGGATAAGGAAACAGCAGAGATGAGATGGTTAGATAGTATCATGAATTTGGGCAAATTCTGGAGGAAAGAGGCACCTGGCATGCTTTGGGCCATGGGATTGCGAAGAGTCGAATACAATTTAGCAACTGAATAACAACATATATAGATAGAGATTATACATAACACTGTATAACCAGTATGTATATATAAAATATATGATTATCATGCTTTTTTTACTTACTGTACTGTGTATAAATGAGTCCTGTATTTTCTTATATTTGACCATATAATGTCTATGTTTATAGGCAGTTTGCTAATAGAAAGTGCAATCAGGTTTTTGACCCATTGAGTAAATGGAGTCATACATTTATCTTTCTAGTGTTGCAATGCCAGTGTTATGGTTCCGGCTAATGAAACATTTCAAAGAACTTCCAGGCATTTATTTTCCTAAAAGTCTTTTATTGAATCAAAATGTCGGCACAGGCACAACGGAGGGATGCTAGGATCTAAGGCAGTGATTCTCAACCTGTGGGTCAGGACCCCATTTGGGGTCGAACGACCATTTCACGGGGGTCGCCAAACAAGGCTGTCCGCCATTTTTCCCCCTTTCCTTTGGCCATGCCCCTGGCACCCGGTGATGTATAAGTGGTTGGGGGTCACCACAACATGGGGAACTGTATTATGGGCATTAGAAAGGTTGAGAACCACTGATCTAAGGTCTCTTCCTCTCAGCAGTTAAATTATCAGCATGTTCCCTCCCTAGATTAGCTGGTCATATATCACATTATCCAATTAGTGTGAAGGTCATAGGTTTTCTTCCTCTTTCTTTCCTGGGCTTTACCCCCACCCCTCTTCTGCTCTGTATTAACCCCATAAATACCAGACAGTTCTGCATATTGTCAAAAGCAAGAATATACAATATTTGCAACGTTGACAGCCAGTCTTTAAGCTTTAAGAACACAGACAATCCTTTTATGTTTATGTTGTCCAGTTGACAAATTTAATGTACAAGATATGTAATTCTAGAGTATTTTGTTGGAGATGTCATAAGGAAATATTTAAAATGTGTCCATTTAAAACATGGAGTATGTTCTTACCACGTCCTATACCTAAGTTTGGGGAGAAAGTAGTGGACCATATAAATGTGACTTCAACAAAAGCTAAAATTTTCAGAGTACAAGTAGTCCTTGACTTACAACCACAATTGAGACCAAAATTTCTATTGCTAAGTAAAACATTTGTTAAGTTAGTAGAACAGTTGTTAAGTGAATCCGACTTCCCCATTGACTTTGCTTGTGAGAAGGTCACAAAAGAAGATTACATGATCCTGGGGCACTGCGACTGTCATAAATATGAGTCAGTTGCCAAGTGTCTGAATTGATCATGTGACTATGGGGATGCTACAATGATTGTAAGTGTGAAAAATAGTCATCAGTTACTTTTTTCAGTGCCATTGTAACTTTGAATGATCACTAAATGAACTATTGTAAGTCAAGGGATACTTGTATAATATTTTCTTGAATAAATAATATATGTCTGAAACCTTTGTAAATCACAGATAGCTGCATGACAGGAACAGTTCTGTATTTATGCCAACTATGATTTGTAGAAATAGACCAACATAAAACCATAGCTTTGATTTGGTTTTTTTTATCCTAACCACTATTAAGATTAAAAAAAGAGAAAACAGTGATGAACTTGAGAGTGACTAATATTGACTCACGGCTTTACAAATTATACATTACTTTTAAATATAATTGTTGTAAATATAATTGTTATGTCAATTTTGATTAACATTCAAGTACAGTAATTTATATTTTTAAAGTAATGAGTATGTCTTCTTCCATCAGTAGAACTGGACTTCAACATTTAGTGTAAGATAACCAGTGCTGTGGAATAATGTGACTTTTTTTTACAGTTGCCCTTGAAGACATTGTTATACTATCCCTGAAATAGGTTTAAATCCTAGTTTCAGTATGTAAAGGGATTTGTTTCCTTATGCTGGTAAATAGTAAGCTGAATAACTTAACTAGTTTGGACAATATGTACAACTTGAAATTCAATATTTTTACTGATTCTAGATGAGATATAAAGAGAGAACAGAGTAAGGGAATAATTGTATTTTAGATTTTATTTCTTGATAATTATTTTCTTCATACGTGCCTTAAATTTTTATCTATTTGATACATTCAATTAAATAATTTATGCTTTTTTAAACAGGATATTTCTGCACAAGAAAGCAATATATTAGGGGCATTCTGTGACATGAATGTAAGTTTTCAATTTCAATTTAAAAATGCACAGCTTCAAAAATTATAGCCTATTACTTTTGTTCATGAAATCATTCTAGTGGTTTATGTATTATCCTGAATTCAGTTCAAATAAAAGCTCATATTGTCACTGAGCTATAATCCTTTTAGATAATTAAAATTAGCATACCCAGTATAGATTGGGTTTATATATTGTAAAAGCCACAATGTAGTTTTGATAATACATGAACTCATTTATTGTGGTCTAAATCATATTTTGTACTTTAACAGAATATCTTAATGAGTGCTATATAACTCTGTATACTGCCTTACATTTTGTGTTTGAATCTGCCTGATGTCTGTTGGATTGTTAGCATCTTGTACCACTTTTTTTAAAAAAATTGTATGGCTACATAGCTTACCTAAGCTATTCTGGCAGGGTCATAACAGATTAAAAACAATCCAATAAAAACAGGTTAAAAAACAATAAGAGAACTGTATAGAACCAATTTAAAAGAACTTATACTCTTCTGCTATGTTTTGACTGCCGGATAGCTTCACTCTTTTATTGTGTATAGACTGAATAATTATATCACAGTTATGTTCAGCTTCATTGGGCACAATATGCAAAGTTCTGTGTTATATAGAGTTGAAAGGCCAAATCTACAAAGACAAATTTAAAAAATTACATAAAATGAGTATGCTCAAGTTTTTCAGGAACTTTAAAGAGTTCAGCATTGATGTATAAACCTAAATACATGCAGAGGGATATGAAATGTGAAACTACAGAAGTTTCATATGTAGTCTTTCACAGCATTACATAGATTTAATTTTAACACTTAGGTCAAAATCAGTACATTGAATTGTCCTGAAATCTTGCTTCAGTGTTTATGAAGATAAGATTTCAAAATAGCATGTAGGGGTATAATTATTTTGAATGAGAAAGATATATGTGGATTTTTAAAAATTAAAAAAAATCTGTTTTTATTTCTGTAGGATGTAGAAGTACCATTGCACTTGCTTCGCTATGTTTGCTTATTTTGTGGAAAAAATGGCCTATCCCTCATGAAGGACTGTTTTGAATATGGAACTCCTGAAACGTTGCCATTTCTCATAGCACATGCATTTATCACTGTGGTTTCTAATGTAAGTATATGTCTACAGGTCTCTAATTTTAATAATGCAAGGTGGAATAAAATAGTCTCCACCAAGACTTGACTTCAACTAACTTGAATCAAATCTATAAGCTATGTTCTCTGTTTATATTGTAACTCTCATTGTAATACTAGTATTAAATGACAAAAATTGCTCCTTTTAAAGACTGGGGATAACTTTGCTATTAAAATTGCAGATGCAGAAAAACATTCAGAAATTTGCACAATCTCTGTTCTATTTTCCATAAGTTTCCAAAATCATTTTAATTTATTTAATTATCAATTAACATTGATAGATATTGCTTTATTATTGCTAAACTTCTAATTTCTGTTTGCTTCTTTTTATAGTTCTAAGTAAACCAAAATTTTAAAATCCATGTGTTTTTCAGAAATTGCTATTCTAGTGACTTAACAAAAAACAGTTTGTACTCTTTTTCCTGTTTATACTAAATTGGAGGAGTAAAGTAGCAGACAAGCTCAACTTGCTGAGAAGGATAACTCCAAATGAACTTAGAACATAGAATAATAGAGCTGGAAAGTATCTTAGAGTTCTTCTAGTCCAACCCCCTGCTTGAGCAGGAGACTGTATACCGTTTCAGATAAATGGTTATCCAGTCTCTTTTTGAAAGCCTTGAGTGATAGAGCATCCACAATTTCTGAGGGTAAGCTATTCCATTAGCTGATTGCTCTCACCCTTAAGGAAATTTTTCCTTATTTCTAGGTTGCTTCTCTCCTTGGTTGGTTTCTATCCATTGTTTTTTTGTCTTGCCTTTTGGTGCTTTGGAAAATAGTTTAACCCTCAGCTCTTTGTAGGAGCCCCTTCTTAGTGGTTGCTTCTGACTAACTCTTGCCTTACATGAGTTCTACATTGCCAACAATTGCTGCCTTTCAGTTTGTCTTCATAGTGAGGAGATTTAGTGAAATACAGTTTTCATGCAGAATGCTGTTGGTAAAGAAAGCACTGTGACCAGTACCCTACGCATGGGCTGATAGAATTTTCCTTTTTAATAAATAAGGGCCTCTCAGAAATAAACTTTGCATTGAACATATTGGGTGTATATCATTTGAGAGTCTTTTGTTTGCTCAGTAATGCTGTTTCTTATCTTTCATTATTACTGAAACTTCCAGAATAACTGGGGCCTGTTAAATATCATTCTGGAAGTTTTTAACAGACCGTGTCCTGATAAATGTTATTCTGAAGTGTCTGAATACAGCACTCCTGTACTTCTTAATAAACTAAACCTGCTCTAAGGCTGGTGAAGACTGTGAGAAAAATTAAATGTTAATTTGAGAATCTTCCCTCCACTCAACACTATAATAGTGCTGAATCTAAAAAAGAAATTCTAATACTATTTGATATATATCCTCCATAGTAGGTTGGAGCCTGTTTCATTTTTATCTATTATCTGAGCATTTGATCTCAAATGTGCCTTTTTATGTACCTTTTTATAGAGCCACATTACTTTAGTGGCTTGCAAAAGAGTGCATCTTCAACTACATATAAATTCTCAAAAGTTATGTCATTAGGACAGGAATCCTAAAAGATAAGAGAAGGCATTACTGAGCAAACAAAAGATTGAGGGTGAAGGTTCTTTCTCCGAGCTTGTGGGTTGGTTTCCAAAAGTTTCGTTACCAGGCTAGGTAACATCTTCAGCGGACTTTAGGGAATGTCAATGTTCTGTTTATAAGGGCTTCAGGTCTGGATGTGTCAAGTGAGGGTCTTGTGATGGATCAGATATGAGTCATCAGTGAGAGGCTTGTGATGGGGAGAACGAACCTTCACCCTCATCATACACCCGAGCTACAGATATTTGCCACTATTGCAAACAAAAGACTGTCAAATGATATATGCCAAATACATTCAATGCAATGTTTATCTTTGAGAGACCCTTATTTATTAAAATATTAATGTTAAATGTATTCACTTGGTAATTTCTGTAAACAAATTAAAGAGTAAATTTTCACATTGGAGACAGCGGCTAAATGAAAATAAAATCATTCATTGAAATTGTATGGCTATCCATCTGTTAATTACTCTAGCTAACAATTTATATAAGTATAATAAAACCTCAAAACACAAACACAAAGTAAGTTAAAATAATTTTAACACAATAGCCAGGCTTTTATAACACAATTATACAATATGGGGATGAAAATAATAGCTCTGTGTCTGGGGAAAGAGACTATTCAGCCTTTTGGGCAAGTCAAGAAAGCTGGTCTGCCATATGTTACAGGGAGGCTGTTCTATACAGCAGGTACCACAAAAGAAATGTTTATCACCTAGGTGACACCAAATGATATTAGTCAATAGAAAAGATCTCTAGTATGTCCACCCTGACTGATCTATTTGGATAGGCAGAAACCCACAGGGACAGATGGTCTTATAAGTATTCTGGCCCTGTGCCGTGCAGAGCTTTAAATGGGGTAATCAGCACTTTGAGTTGCACCAGAAAGCATACAGGAACACAGTGCAGCTTGTGCAACAGCAATGTAGCAGGGATGAACCTTGGTGTGCCTAATGTCATATTCCGACTAATAGATCCAAACAAATTAGAACTCCAAGGCTTGAGGTTTCCTCAAAGAACATGTTTATTGGATACATAATATCGGCACAGTCAAAAGTGAAACCAACTCTAAAGTTCCCCCCCAGGAGTTCAATGTAACTAAATGTAACACTTCCCTCCCCTTTACTATGCCATTGATCACACTATCCAATGAAGGCAATTGGCAGGCTCCGTGACACTTTTTCTCTCCACCTTCCAGCACTGTGGGAATGACCTTGGTTCCCACGGGACTGCTGTGTTTAGTCTAGCAATCTGTTTGCTTTCCCCCCCCCTCCTCCCAAACCTGTGTGGCAACTGAGAATGACAAAGATGGCTTCAGCCAGATTCGTTTCAAAGATTGACAGTTGGACTCCCCTAAAGAGAAAGAAGTTCCTGGAAAATAACGAGCATAGATACACATTAGTGAGTTGCTAATTTTCTATGCTATCGTCCAGAGGTTCCCTAGGCTTTTGGAGATGTTTATCATGAAACTTCTGTATTAATCTATCTGCCTTTACATTTCTGCTGTTTATCCAAGTAGCTTCTGACAAAGGATATCCTTTCCACTGAATTAGGTATTACAATTTCCCTTTATACATTCTAGAATCAAGAATCCGTTTTATTTCATAATGAGTGTCATATTCCACCATAATGGGTCCTTGGGTTGTTCGGGATACTGGTCTCAAGGTCGATTCTGTAACTGGTTTCAACAAACTCAGTGAAAAACTGGATGTATTTTCTCCAAGAATCGTGGAAGTTTTAGCTCCACCGTGACAGGCTTTTCCGATTTTTACGATGGGGAAAGGACCAATAAATTTAGGTCCCAATTTTTTACACGGTAGTTTTAATATTAGGTATTTAGTTGAGAGATAGACTATCTCTCCTATATGAAATGGTTTCTGCAGGGGACCACCTCTTATCTGCTTGCTTCTTTTGAATCTTTGTGCCTTTGGCTGAGGCACCTTTGACATTTGCCCAAGGACTTTGAAGTAAGTTAACCCACTTGGTCAGTGTTTGTGAGGAGGAGGGTTCCTGGGGATATTCAGGTATGGGAATGAATTCCCTGCCAGTAGCTATTTTAAAAGTAGTAAGTCCAGTACTGCTGTGTACAGTATTATTTTATGCCACTTCAGCAAAAGGCAGAAGGTCTACCCAGTTAGTTTGCTGATAGTCAACATAGCATCTCAGATACTGTTGCAACGTTGCATTCGCTCATTCATTGGCTCCATTCGTACTTGGATGAAAAGCTGAGCTAAGCTGCTAGGTCACAGGTCGACAACCTGCGGCTCCCAGCCTCCTCTGCCTTTGCAGAGAGAGACAGAGACAGAGAGAGGAATTGCGCTTCCCTGCTTCTCTCTCTCTCTCTCTCTCTCTCTCTCTCTCTCTCTCTCTCTCTCTCTCTCTCTCTCTGTGTGTGTGTGTGTGTCTGTGTGTGTGTGTGTGTGTGTGTGTGTGTGTGTGTGTCGTGTGTAAAAGAGAGTGCACTCACAGTATTCTCCGAGGAGCTGAAAAGCTTACTGGGCGGAGCTCCTCCCTTTGCTGCGTCTCTGCAGGAAGCAGGAAGCAGGAAGGGCAGGAGAGAGCTAGCTCGCCCAGCTAGGCTGACTCAGGAATTCTGGGAGTTGAAGTCCATGAGTCATAAAAGAGACGAGGTTGCCTACCCCTGATCTTGTTGGACAACAGCCTGAAGCTTGTCAGGTGAGCAGCAGATAGGAGAGGGGAGGGGGGAGAAAGAGAGAGAGAGAAAGAGAGAGAGGGAGAGAGAGAAAAGAAAGAGAGAGAGAAAGAAAGAGAGCGGGGGAAGAGTAGTGGCAGACCAAGGGCAGATAGAGAGGGAGAGAGAGAGAGACCCTTTTGACATCTAAAATGAAGATAACACTGCATATATCCTTTTTTTACCTGTGTGTGTGTGTGTGTGTGTGTGTGTGTACACACACACATACACACAAACACACACCTATAATAAAGGTAAAAAAGGATATATGCAGTGTTATCTTCATTTTAGATATCAAAATGGTTTTGCGGCTCCCAGTGTTTTGTTTTTGGTGGGAAACGGGTCCAAGTGGCTCTTTAAGTGTTTTGGGTTGCCTACCCCTGTGCTAGGTGGACCCTATTAGTTTCACAAACTCCCTCCAGAACTTTACTATGAACTGAACCCTCACTCCAGTATAATTCTTCTTGGTGCTTTTCAACTGGGGAGCCGGTGCTGAGCATTCAGCAGCTCAATGTCATTGCTGGCCGCACTTGAAGCACTTGATAGGGGGGCCAGTAGGAGCTCTGGGAGAGCTGGCTACTGAAGCCACTGTTGGACATGGTCCAAACTGGCACCTTTCCTGGTTTCGCCTTGGCTTTGATTCGGGAGCAATGGGCTTCTTGTAGCACTTAAGCTCAATGTCCAGTGTCACTGCCATCCAGTACCACTCCTGGATTTGCTCAGGAATCCTCCTCT